ATCAAGGTGAGTAGCCGGAGCAGTCGTACTAGAGACAGTTAAATCAGAAGGTAAATTACATAAAAAACTGGGATCCGTTAGTGTTTGGACCACGATTCGCCATTGATAGCAGGAAAGGACGATCATGGGTAGTAGACAAATTTTCATCTAGAGCAAAAGTCAGAGTAAATGCATAAATCCACCTAAAAAAGTTCCTCCATAGATCGATTCGCCTCCCGTCCCGTCTGAGTTACTAAAATCCCCCCCCTGGATCATGAAGCCCTTTATTACGCGATGGAACACTGAACCTTGATAATGCAAAGGTTTTCCTGTCTTTAAACCAATCCCGCACATGCCTAGTTCAACATTATAATGGAAAGAGATGGGTACCTTGACAGAGCTTTTTAAAATTTTCACATGCCTTGGGGCAAAAGTCGCTAAAAAGTTCAAAGACAATCCTCCCAACTAAATGACTATCAAATGAAAGAATGACTAACCCGGCTTATCATCTATTAAAATGTCGAAGAAGCATCTGGTCTTGTAATCCTTGGGCATGATAGGGGCGAGAAGAGTGGGATGGAAGAGGGGAGGGCGTCGCCGCGGTTAATAACGAAGCATATAGCTAAACAAAATGAACGTAATTATATTCACTAAACATAATTTTCCATATTGTGCTAAAAAATTTTATTCTCTAAATATCATATTTATATTTTTAAAATTTTACGTAAAATCTTGTATTTACGAAACAGTTTACTGCACTATTTGCATTCCCTGTGCTTACCTTTTACGCGCCCCCTCAACCTTCTTACTTTCCTCCTGTCCCAATTTATCTCCAAGAATACGCATGCTTTATCTCGCAAGAAGTAGTTTTCTCCCCAAAACGCGGCTGCTGATATTTGGCAACAAAATTTCAGCATATCCTAACGTATTTGCTTTTCCGCTTAGTCTGAATTATGTACAACCACGGGGCTTTATTTCAAAGAGTCGTAGAGAGGCAGATGCTTCTGATACCTTGTCGAAATCCAAGAAGGATTTTTTGGATGCATTTAGAAGGCTCCCAGAGCACTATCAATGGAGCATTTTAACTACGGATAGGCGAATAGTAAAGGATGATTCAGGTTCCTTTTCAGAGTTCTGGAGGAAATGCTTTCGAGTACTTCGCTCTCTTGCCATTGCTTCTGCATCCCTATATGTGGCCTTTCTTGCTATGAAGTGGATAGGAAATTCGAGTAAGTTATGAATATTCATTTATTTTTAGATAGCTTCCCTAAGATGATGGATCCTTCTGTTGGAACACTTGCGGAGGGTGTCAATATTCGTTTTTCCGATGTCCAAGGGGTAAGATTCTGCTTATAGTTTTATTATTAGTGTGATGAAGTAAAGGAGGAGTTACAAAATATTGTTGATTTTTTGAAAAATCCAGCTAAATTCAACAAGATTGGGGCCAAATTGCCTAAGGGGGTGCTTCTAGTAGGAGAACCCGGTGTTGGAAAGACTCTTTTGGCGAAGGCAGTCGCTGGTGAAGCAAATGTTTGTCTGAAAATTATTTCTACTATTATTTTACTATCCTACATTAACCAGTTATGCTTTCACCTATATTACTACTTGCTACCAGGTCCCATTTATTTATACTTCGGGGAGTAGTTTTGATGAGGTTTTCGTTGGAGTTGGTTCATACAGGATGCGAAAATTGTTTCAATCGGCCAAACTAAATGCTCCGTGTATTCTCTTTATCGATGAGATCGATTCGGTCGGCGGCTCTCGTTCGTCTTCGCCTCAGCATCCATATGCAAACCAGACAATCAATATGTTTTTATCCGAAATGGATGGCTTTTCCCCTAACGACGGAGTCATTGTTTTGGGTGCTACAAATCAGAGGGATCATCTTGACAAAGCTCTCCTTCGGCCAGGCCGATTTGATCTTGAGATTTATGTGGCTCCGCCCAATTTTGAGGTATCATCTTATTACACCTCCTTTAATGATTCTGCTACCATTTAAACTTTATATTTTTTTAGGGTCGATTGGCGCTTTTTAAACTGTACCTCAGCAAGGTTAAGCTTGCACCTTCTGTAGATCTATGTAAACTTGCCCATGGAACCGTGGGGTATACCGGTGCAGATATTATGAATATGGTTAACCAGGTATCCTTTGTACATTAAATGTTGCATCAGCCATTTTTATATCACACATGAATGTTATCCTCTTGTTTTCTTAAACTCAATTTATAACTAATGAAAGTATAATTATTGCTAAATTCATTTGTTTTATGAGTGGCTAAAGTTTTAATATCATCTCTAAAATTACACTGCTAGGCAACGGGTCGGGAAATAATTTATTTTTGTTTCTTATCATTTCCAAACTCTTGATATAATTCTGCTTTGGGGGTACTTATCTATGAGAGAAGATTATTCTCTTTCTCTCTCTCTCTTTCTATATATATATATATATATATGGCGTTACTTAACCTTTAATTATGTCTCTCTTGCTTGCTGCATTTAACTATCAAATTATCCCTTTTTATTTTCAGGAGAGTTGTTTTTAGTTCAATCAATGCCGTGCTTTCAGTCGTTAATAGCTCCTACTA